TAAGGGTGGGGCAATCATAAATACAGGAAGTAGAACAGGATAAATAACGTGTACCTTACTTAAAGTGTGTCTTAAACTTACAAAATTTCTTTCCCCCCTTTTTAATATGGAGCCAGCAATCCCTCCTCATGCAAATTCTCGGGAGCCGCCCCTGCTTTTAATCACAGATATGCTTTTTATACCACACACACACTGTACTCACTTTCAACTGTCAAGTCATCGACATGCTTCTTATTCTCTTTACCTTTGTTCTTCTGGAGTTTATGGTAACAGGCATTGTGTGTATTTTTTTTGTTTTGTGAATGCTTGTTGTTGCTGAATGTTTGTTATTGTCATTCTCTTTTCCCACTGTTCGTCCAAGACACACTTCTCTGTCCGGGGAGAATGAAGACTAATCTATTCTTTAATCCTATATTTGATCATTTTGTTACAGCTTTTTCTGTTTGTTTAAACCCTAACACTTTTTCAAGAATGTGTTTTTTGTTTCCTAGTTTCCTTTTATACAGCGTTGCAGTGTGTTCTATTGTCCTCCAACTTTTAATGGCGCTTGAATAAGTAAAGCCAAAATATACACTAGATTTTACAGTGTGACCCGGCTCTTAATAATAGAAATAACAAACACACACACACACACACACACACACACGCGCTGCCGTTCCCCTTTTTTCTCTAATCCACACAGTCCACTCCAGTCCACACAGCAGCACTCATGTAAAACCTGAACTTACCATAAAACAACGACTTTATATTGACTGGGAACTATACTCGCACCAATAAATGATTTCACGCGCCTCTCAGAAAGTATAGGGAAATGCTCTGTCTGTCAAAATCACACTCCACTCTCTCAAACTTTTGCGAATAGCCTTTTACGACTTTCATAAGAGAGAGTATATATGCGTCCTGGCCACACGCACGCCGCGGCTGTGGATGCTCTGGTTCCACGCTCTTGTTATCCATATAAATTTACTACCGCGCATAACTTTATACCGCTCCTTTTAGTGCTGCAGGGCTGGGGGCCTCTTGGATAAACGTGCGCGGGTCTGTGTCAGAGCCTGCCAGGATAAACACACTTTCAGCCGGGGGAAACTTCAGCGGACATCACATACGTGCAGACGCAGATGGATGGACGGATGGATGAAGAAGGAGCGTGCGTAATGGCGCGTGTTTTGACATGTTTGGATATGCGCACGCGGGTATTATTTATGGTTGAAATGACTTGATTTAAGATTGTGTTCTTAGTTTTCATAGTTTGAATTAGTTTATGATGCGCCTATTATTTCACCTTTTCCATTTACTCATATTTTTCACCGCAAAAATGTATAAAAATTGCTTGAAGGGAGTGGTTTTTATTTTAATTTGAGTTCATTCTGTCAGCATTCTGTCTTAAAACAAGATTTTCCAATGGGACAAAGCCATTTAGTCTTATTGCAAGAACGGTTGCTTTATCCAAGGGAGACATTTCTTTTATATTCTTTAAAACAAGATACATTTGTTTGTCCCGTTGGCAAATATTTTTAGGTCAGTCAAAATGTGCTCAATATAAGATAGATGTTGACATTGTTTTTCAAAAATGTGATTTTCCGTCACATTTTGCAGTGCTAGAAACTTTTGCCAATTCGTTAAGACATAATGACCTAGGGTGAGAATTTTCATTTTCTTGAAAAAATAAAAATAAAAATAACAACCCAATAATGCATCTAGTTCAGTTACTTGTTTGCGCAACAGTTTGGTATATATCACTAGTTTTCTCAGAGTATATGTTTGGCCTCTGATACATCTTTTTTTTTTCAAACAGAAAAGAGAGAAACACCCTCCTTCAACCAATCAGCTCTCATCCCAAAACGTGCATTAATTTGGTGGAAAAAGTGTAGCCCAGCTGTAATTACATTAGCCTAAAATATGTTTGCCTTTGTATATTGTGCATTTCCTCATTCACTTTTTCCACGTTACTTTTGAAATCAGGTCAGCACTAACCCAAACCCTTACAGACAAGAACCACAAACTTGACCCGATGTCAGATGGACGTTATAGGTGTGAGGTGGTTAGCCATGCTTCAAAGTTCATTATCACACGCCTGTCCTCACGCTTCTATAAGTTCATCGGGATAAGTTCATGAACGACAGGGTTGGCATGGTTAGCAGTTCTTCTAAGTCCATCAACATAGATTTGTTACAGGCTGGAATTGGTTAGCCATACTTCTAAATTCAGAGTTTTGAAGAAGTTTAATCTCCTAAATTTGTTCACAGATTCAATGCGTTTATGAAATGTGCCTAAAGCAGCACAGTTTTACCATTAAACTACCGAGTGCATTTGTTTACTCAAGGAACTCCTTAAAGACATAAACTTAATACTTGTCCAGTGGAATTTGTCTCAATATTGTTTCAGACCTGACTTTGGTAACTCACTCATTTACTTATTGTTATTTATGATTTGGTTGCCATAGTGCATGATAATGAACACACCTCTCCGGATATAGCTTTGGGCTCATTTGCATACGTCGTCCCAGTCACTCTCACGTATACACACACTCATTCACCCTAAACTATTGTACATGTTTGTATAGGCAGGGCAAACCGGAACACCCGGAGGAAACCTATACACCGACACAGGGACAACATGCAAACTCAACGCAGAACGGGAGGGGGAATCGAACCTAGAGCCTTCTAACCCCCGTGCCACCGTGCTTGTATTTCACTATTTCACACATGTATCGCTGTTCTCTCAAGTTCGTGAAATAATCTCTTTACTATTCACAGTAGTTTGATGTATTGTGTAAATAAATATTCTTATATTTTCTAACGAGGCCACTGTCGCCTACAGCATTCACGCTTCTGGGCCACAGTCTGAGGCAGATGACATGCATTTCAGTGCCACTAGACTTTTATTAGTATAAATGTGATTTTTATTAATATTCTTTGTGAATATGCTGAGTCTATCTCTTTTTAACTGCAAAAAGAATCTACCCACTGGTACAAATAAGGTCACCTTGAACCCCAGACTTTGGACACCTTATTTTTTATTTATAATCATAATGATGCCATATATCTCACGTCCATTCCTCTCGTGCTTGATTCGATTGACATGGGCCAATATTACAGCTGACAGACCAGGTGATGTTTGGATATTTTTATTGGAGATGCGTTTGGACTTTGCTCCCTTTACATCCTGGCCCACATATCCAGCTCGTAAGCACCAGCCAATACTTAACATGAGAATAACACACACATACCACCCTTTTGCAGTGTGTATAGGTCTTTTCTTTACAAATGACTGCGCATGCGGGATAACTTTATGCTATCTACTTTCTCACCCATCCAAGTGTCCAAAACTGTGCGTAAAAGTGAATGATTAGCCCGTGCTTCGTGACCGTCACGCGGACAGGCCCGAGTCAAGTCCATTGTGAGCAGGGTGCATGTGTGCGCGCCACCGAGGCCATTGTCATATGCACCGTCCACATGAGCGCGCCCCCAGCATCTGTCCATCTAATTGGGAAATGCATGCGCGTTTGTACGAACATATCCAGGTTTTGTGTCATCCATTTGGCTGTACACACTTGTAACTAAAGCAGCACTTATTTCTCATGCTCTGTATTAGATGTATTTACATGAGTGGATTCACGCGTGCACGAGCTAAGCCATCGGATCTAGTTTGTTTGAATTTGCGTTGCTTTACCATTATGTCCTCAGGCCTTATAAGCAAACGACATTTCCTATTCCCTTTGTTATATGTTCAAGAAGTGACATGTCACTTTGGCCTTAAAAATGCCCCATAATTAATGTAATGACATAATTTTAGCACATTATTTTCTGGAAACGTTTATTTAATTCTTATTTAGGTATTGTTTATTTTCAGGCTTATATCCCATTGTTATTAAAGGTAAATTCAACATTATAGTATTTGGACTAGTTACGTATACGTGCCCTAACAGTTAAAAAATACAGAACTATATGAGAGCTATATGGAGTATTTGCGTATATTTACATTTTAATTTAATTACAAATATGTATCTCGTTATTTTGATTTTATTCAAACAATTTATATATATTTTTTTTTACAGGTTAGAAACGCGCTCTGACACACACAGGATATACGCCGCTGTTACAGTAAGCAGTGAGTAAGGCAGGATACCAAGAGGACTCTGGGCTGAATCCAAACCAACAGATTTTTACGCATGAGGCCTGGAGACATGGCTCCAGCCCGCACTAATGCATTACGCACAGCACACACGTTTCTGAATCATTTTAGATCATAAAACGATATGACACATTTCAATCAAAGAAACCTTACCATAGAAAGCGTGCCAAATATGTCATTCATTTCTCACACTCTTTACGTATTCAAACAGATCTGCATACACACAGCTAATGATCTACATCCTTTAAATTCATACAATATTTTATTTTATTTGTTATAACACTGATGCATTGGCTATTTTTAACAACTTGTTGGGGATTTACAAATGAACGCGTGCTTATTCAAAAGGCACCACTTGGTTGAGAATTGCAGAAAGAAATTAGTTTTTGAAGTGTTGTACGCGAATAATGTCTTTCTAATTTATATGTTTTAACTCAGGAAAGTAGAGGCCATATTTCTCTGTATTGACAATGCTTCTCTGTATGTTTGCGTAAAGAATATAGAGTCTATAGTGTGCATACTCGTAAACAGCAGTAGTAGCAGCAGCCTGGGACATGTCGATCCTCTTTTTCTTTTTTCCAATCCTTCTTTTTCCCCCTCGAATTTTCTTCACACGCAATTGTCAAAAACACCTCTTGGAGATCTGCAAATAAAGCCACACATGTACACACGCTAACAAGAAAACTTTCCTATTCCTTCTTCTCCTCTTTCCTCCAAACCACCCAGAGCGATGCGCTGCAGCCTAGTGCTCCCGGTGCGAATCCAAAACAAAAAATGGGACGTAAAAGTTAATGTCCTGCCGTGGCTTTCATTGGGACAGGAATTCTCACCCTCCTTCCGCTCCTTTCAGGCGCGCAGACGCTCCTTCAAAGGCTCAATAGCCCCATGGTCTGCGTGGCTAGACACAGACTTTCAACTTGACCTTGGCCTCCACCTCCAGCAGTGTCTACCTCCTGTGTCAGAGCCGGAGCGGAGCGGGGCGCGCACTGCTGCAGGCGGGAGCGCGCACCAAGCTCTAGGCACAGGAGGGCTGGAGAAACATGGTGAATGAGGGTGATGAGGGCAATGAGGGGGATGAGGGTGATGCGGGTGAGGGCGAGAGGAGCAGGCAGTGGTATCCTCCAGGAGATGGATGTTGGACACTGTTTTGAGAACACTGCTTATATAAGGTGCAGGGATTTTACAAAATTGTATAAATATATGGTGCAGAAATGGGTACATTGTCCTGTGATCACACAGTCTATATAATCCTCATGTGTGATTAGAATTAGAAGCACTGCTGCGACTAACTGCTGCGCCAATGCGTCATCACGTGAACAATACAGAAAATGTGTAACACATATTCTTGATAATCAAATGGTGTTATGTTACATTCATGTTTGTGTGTCTGTAGAGCACACACAGAGTCACACACAGCAGTCTGATGCATATGCGCCAGATCTCCAAAAGACAAAGGGTTTGAGTCAAATGTTTATGCAGAGATCTAACACTTTGACTCAATAACAGCCCGCGTTTGATGAAAGGAAGCAGATTATTGGTATTTGGTCACCTTTGTGCTCACTGCATTTTCTCCATTTAATGATATGTGCTGCTTATGTCCTCTTTGCATAGCCTGAGTCACGTGGTGAGGTGTTGGCCAATAGCAGCCCTCAGTGAGCCCTGGGTGCACGTCAGAGCAGCTCTACTCCCTGTGAAGCCCTATGTGCTGCTTTCAGTCTCAGGGCTTTTTAAAAAAGAGCCAGAAGCGTCGATGCGGGACGCCGTGCTATGACAACGTCACTGCTGCTCGGTCCGCGCTGGCTCGACCCGTCGCTCATGTTCCTGTACGAAAACGCCGCGGATGAAGTGAAGAACATGGAGGGTTTTTCTGGAGGCAACTTTACAGCGAATCAGTGCAGGAATCTGATGGCGCACCCCACGTCCCTGGCACCCAGCGCTGCCTACACGTCCAGTGACTTGCCCTCGGCCGGCATGGGGGGCATGGGGGAGCCGGTGAAGCAGTGCAGCCCGTGCACTGCGGCTCAGAACTCTTCGAGCGCGTCCTTGCCGTACGGGTACTTCGGCAGCAGCTACTACCCGTGCAGAATGTCGCATCACAGCAGCATAAAGGCGTGCGCGCAGCCGCCTTCCGCCTACACGGACAAATACGTGGATTCTGCCGCCGCTGGAGAGGACTTTCCCTCGCGAAAGGAGTTCGCTTTTTACCCCACGTACACGCCAGGACCATACCAGCCCGTGCCCAGTTACTTGGACGTACCGGTGGTTCCCACGATCAGCGCTCCCAGTGAGGCCAGGCACGAGTCGCTGCTGCCCATGGACAGCTACCAGCCGTGGGCCCTGAACGGCTGGAACGGACAGGTCTACTGCAAAGAGCAGCCTCAGCCCGGGCACGTGTGGAAGTCCTCACTACAGGGTAGGCCGCGTGCGTCACCCCCTAATAGTGTCTTATACACAAGTCTATAATAGTCTATATAGTGCTGCATATCTGTGTGTGTGAGGCTGTGTGCTGGCTCTGCAGCGGACACACACACACACACACACACACACACACACACACACACACACACACACACACACACACACACACACACACACACACACACACACACACACACACAGATGCGCACACACACTCATACACACGCTCTTCCCACGCACGCGCGCACACACACTCAGGCCTATAGACTACTGTAACATTAATACACATTTAGGATCTACTTTATGAACTTCTGTCGCAATGACACTGAGTCAGTGTCGTGTTTATGACCAGCAGCAATGAAAGGTTCTTCTCTGAGGCACGAGGCTGTGCCTTTATTGTGCATTATAATCTTTATGATTGTTATTATTTATTATTATTATTATTATTATTATTATTATTATTATTATTATTATTGTTACTACTTCTCACCACACACACAGACAGAGAGAGACACATGAAAACATTCATTTTATGTACTACCATGTAAGCAATTTTAATTGTATTGAATATGTTATTATCATGTTATTTTGATTCTCACCCCGAGAATAGAAAGCAACACATTTTATTCTACTGAAATATGTACAATAGTGTGTTTTAAATGTATGGTCAAAATAATATCATGCAGCCATATAATTCATATCATGTAAATAAACCACAAAACACACACGGATCCTCACAAAGAGTTATAATCACAATGACACTGATATGATTTAATGTATTTCCCCTGAAGCTGAACAGCTCTGAGCACATCCCTGCAGCCTGTTACACTTGTGCCTCCTCCACAGTCACTTGTTGATCACCCCCTTTCTGCTCTTTCCACCCGCACAGACGCCGTCACACACGTCGGCGTGGACTCGGGCTCATACCGGAGGGGCCGCAAGAAGCGCGTGCCTTACACCAAAGTGCAACTGAAGGAGCTGGAGCGCGAGTACGGAGCCAACAAGTTCATCACGAAGGACAAGCGGAGACGGATATCCGCACAGACCAACCTCTCCGAGCGCCAGGTCACCATCTGGTTCCAAAACAGACGCGTCAAGGAGAAGAAAGTGGTCAACAAACTCAAAACCATCAGCTAGTTGTGTGCACACGTGTGGATTTGTGACTGGACTGACGTATGACTGCAGCATTTCAGAGTTGGGAAACTGCGGCTTGGCTCGTGCGTAATTGGAAAGGAATTGTTGTCGCTTAAATGGAGCATTTTTACGCACGACTTAAAAAAACTGAGCCAAAGTTGTGTGCCACCGAACTACACCATTTATCTGACACTTTTTAACGACGGGACGATAAGGCAAGCTGCAGTAAATGACCTTTTGAGGAGCTGGGACCTTGAGAATGTTAAATATTAATCCGCCGTGGCTTCCTTTTATTTGCATTTATAGCTCGTATGAAGTTTATTGTATGAAATGATGTTCTTCATGGCTGAAAAACAATATTTGCAAGTTGGAGTGACTACATTTTCGAGATTTGGCTTAAAAAATGTACTGCTAATGAATTAAGTCAAAAAGAACTTTGAGAAAACGAGTGAGTTATCGCTGACCATATTTATAAGCCAAGTCCTTGAAAATGTAATCAAGGACGACTGTTATATTGTTGGGCTGTGTTCGTTCATTCATTTATTTGTGGTGCAATTCTTATCCTTATTCGCTTTATAAGATGACGGCCATGTCTTCATCTTCGCTTCTCAGTGTTGTGTGTGTACATAAAAATCCTGGCATGAAATCCGGGTTATTGCTGTGTAAGTGAGTAAAAAAAAAAAAAAACATGTTTAAAGTGGTGTTAAAGTCCGTCCCAATAAAACATGGCCTTGGTTGAATTTTACCCAAGTTATGATTGACAATAGGCATTTATCACGCGCACAGTTCAAGTTCCACACCTGACCTTTCCGCATTTTGATCAGGTTTGCACGCATGTTTTTAAGATTAAATTTGGTTTACTATATGTTTCGTCAGAGGAAAATTGCTCTGTATATTTAGATGTAAATATATTACACATTTCTGGAATTAATTGAAATTATGAGGAGTAACAGAAATTGGCTTAAAGGCGATAATCTAACATGTTTATGGCATGTTTTGTCCCGCGGATCAAAAGCCTCAAACACAACCTGCAACAGACTGAACAGGCCAGTGGAATAGTGAGCTTTGAGCGCCATCTGCTGGTAGGGTTGGAGATAACAGCCAGCAGAAATACACACACGCGCACCCACACACACGGGGCATACAAACAAACATACACACACGCGCGCTAGCGCACGCGCGAAGGCAACATTACGTGATAAAACGCGCACAAATATATGTTGTGATCTCTGTGTGTACGACCAATGTTTAATGTTTGTCAAGAATGATATGCTGATAAATATTCATTTCCCTTTACGCTCTGCTTGTTGTGGAAATCATTGCGTAAATTGCGATATGAGTTCTTTCCAATATAGGCTGTTTTTTAAAATGTACATATTTAGTTGAAATAGTATTACAAAAGTACAAAAGTGTGTTTTAAGTATATATATAGGAAATATTAAGCACTCTTCATCATCTCACTTTATGCATGTTGTTGGCATCTCACTGTATATATATATATATATATATGACTGATGATGAAATGCAATTATATATATACGCAATGTTTTAATTCTTGCCTGGACAACCATTTTCAAACTGCCCTCAATATTTCCAATTGTTTATTTTTTATTTTTATATACATATATTGTAGCCTATAATGTCATACCAAAGACGCAAAAAATCCCTTTTTTCTAGCCTAAAATGATAAAATAAAGAAACAGTTAATATTTACAGACAAAATCATCTCAATATATATTAAGACCAAATTATTATACAAATAAATGTTCCACATCCCGCGCTTGTAACATGTAGGTCATTCATATTTTATAGGCCTAGACGTCTCTGCTTTTGTTTATATATAAAGGTAGCACGTAATGCATTACATAGTAGTTGTAGAATAATACAATATATAGTGTCTATGTCTTTGTCAAAATATCACGCGAAAATTACGCACAAAACTTGAGGCTCACGTTGTCAACAGAGGCTGAATATCGATGGTTTACGTATGAAAAATGTGGGGACTTTATGTGTATTTCAAATGTTATATTTCAAACATCACAAATATGACAATATGCGTGCACATGGGAGGGAAGAAAAGCAACATTTAATGCACTTTTTAATCAAATCAGAAAAAGAGAACAGGCCTAACACGTTCAAAGTGACGCGCTTCAGTTATATTCCGGGTTTCTCTCATTTGAGCAGTTTGAAAATGTTTGTCCAGGCAAGAATTAAAACAATGAATTTGATAATGCGTGAATTGCATATAAATATATCATTGCATTTCATCATCATCATTAAAGACAACATAGATAGATAGTATAATTACACCACGAACATGTATCACGCATAACCATATTTCCTACTCACACACACAATGAATAACGGTGGAGTCTTTGTCACGTTTGTGATACCTTTCTATGACTGCGTTCACTCGGGTGATTCATGCGCGAAACACGAACACTTAAAGTTGTGTTATCATTATGTTAAGGCCTCTCACATTATACTCTCTCTACAGTGACATTTCTCTCAAGTGCCTTCCAATTACGACAAGGAGCTCTTCGCTATACGCTACATTTGAGGAAGGTTCTAGTGTGAAACGAAATTATCAACTGAAATTTTGATTGTAAATCGAACTGAACTGGTCCATATCTACTGAAATTGTAAACACAAAAAAAAATTGCCAAAAATTATGAAGTCATAATTCCAAACGCCTTGGTCAATAGAAAAGACTACATTTTGGGTTTAGCGCGTGTGCCATAATCCAACCAAGAGCGGACTTAAAAGAAAGCGCTATTTGGAATCATTCTAATGCGTGAAAATAGTCTTTTATCTCCCATATCTCAATTATTTCTCAATATATTATGATTGTGTGTCTGTTGTTCACGGAGGGATGCCAGTGTGGTGTTATTGGCCACACGTGCGTATGGCGTAGATACAGGACCAGGAGTATATACTGGGGTGGGCATGGTGGTATTGCTGGTATGAGTGGTGCTGGTGGTTTGCTTTGGCTTTGGGCTCCAAACACTGCAGCAGCCATTTTCCCACGCCCTCATGACGAAGGCATGCGCCCACAGGCTGAGTTAACAGTGCGCATGCGTGGACAGGAGCGAAACCAGATGTGCAGTCTATGCGGAATATAAGCGCTCGTATGTATGTGACGTTTTGTGATGTTTCTTTTTTTTTCCTTCTTAATCTTTTATTTTCATTTTGATCAAGAATATACGCACGCGTTTGGACAGGCTTAGTGGAAACAAATAAAAAAAAAAAAAAACATTATTGGTATATATGGTGATATGTATGTTCATATATCAACATATGTTGTACCTTATTTAGAAATGTATGTCTGATTTTCTTACTAAATAAGAGCATCGTTTGCTTCAGTTGAGATTTAAATTGCAAATTTTCATCTTAGATATTTGCAATATAACTTACATTGACATACAACACTTTATTTAGTTTATGTTGGCGCTTATTCCTTTATTTTCATTCATCTAGGACGCAAATAATATATTATTATGCCATGTGCTGCTGAACTCATAGTGACTATAGATAAACTTGAACACACACAAGGATCAAAAGTGGATATTACACTCTCAACAATCATCTTTTATTATGCCTAAAGAAGAAAACCAGCGTCCTTCATAAATAACAATATGTCCAATATTTGTTATATTTTGCATACTTGTGAAGAAAGAGCCTTGGGGGTCACTGTTTGACGCTTTAGGCTGAGATCTGATTGGCTGAGTGAGGGTAGTATTTTCGTTTTGCCTTTTCTGTCTAAAGATCTAAAATCTGATCTAAAGATGTGAACGAGGGCAAATACACATGTGAAACCCAGGGATAGAACCAACAAGTTTTGAAAGCCGGGCCCATTTTGTTGTGGGTTGAAAATTAGGTACCCCAGCTTTAAAATAACATCTCCATAGACATCTCCAAATCTGCAGTGTGTCAAGTCCATCGTCACAGACACACATCCGCTTTAGCTGTGCTCCTATTGGCTCATTCAAGACCAAAACAAACCCCAAGTCCCTCCCATATTTTCCGTAGCCCTGTATGACGGAGAGAGCTGATTGGCTGAGCTCGGAGTAGCGTCGACGTATGTGGTTGCATCCAAGTTCAGAGTCGATATTTCCTTTTCTTATGCCTCTTTTTTCTTTTTTTTTTATCCTATTAATCTGCTGTTAGGAAATGTGGTCTCATATATGAATGAATTTTACTTTTGACAAATTTGACCTGCCCAGTCCTGTTATAAGAACGAGTGAAAAAACAAGGAGGTATTTTGATTGAATTTGGAAGCAGCCCGTGAATGGATTTGTAAGAGTTGATCTGTGCTGCCATCCTACGGACAATTATGATATTGCAGATGGTCTGTTCTGCAGTAGCACACTCAGAGGTGGCACAAGTACACATAGTCTGTACATAAAGCAAAGGACTTATGCAAACCTCATCTCTGGTATAAAAATTAGTTCATACTATTTTCTTTTTTCAGTAAAAGTAAAGCGTTTATTTATACGTAAACATAAAACATGTAAATATCCAAATGAGATTAAGTAACTGAAAAAAGTGAAAATTAACTAAATATACATAAATAGTATAGATTTAGTTTGATTCAATAATATGACCGTGATAAACACCCTCTTGTGCCTGTCCATGTTGATTTCACTCAACCGAGCGCAACCTGACTGCATTTGAGAATAACATGTGAAAAAATGGTATCTTTGCCTCATGTAGAGTTATCGTATAGAGCTCTTATATAGAGTTATTGTTTAGAGATCTTATATAGAGTTATCGTAAAGAGTTCTTATATAGTGTTGTTTGGAGTTGTTTAGAGTCGTCTTGTCATGTAGCATCATCTTAACAACATGATCTAAAACAATGTCTTCTAATGTTATGCAAATTCAGACTATTCCTTTTGCAGACATTATCTCCACGTCCTTGTGCACAGCGCTGTTTGCAAAAGGTTGTGACTGTGGTAAAAGCAGCTACAGGGCGGCACAGGGCGATAAAGGGGAATGGCGTGC